CTCCCACTCTTTTGACAAGCAAAGATACATGGGAAACATTGCATAATTCAGCACAACCACGCAGCTTCTAATGAGCACGCATCTTGCACTCCACAGCTACAGGGATAAAATCCATTTGAGTACAGACATCCAGGTAGAGCCTGGCAACTCTTTCTGCTGCCCCAGCTCCCGCTGCTTTGTTCTGTTTCCCTGGGGCTGCAAAAGTGAACTTTGCTCCTTCTGCATTCAGACCCAGTACCAGCAATAGATAAGAAACAACAGTCAGTGCCAAGCGTTTGATGTCACCTATTTCTGGCTCAGCAATAATGGGCCTTTGTCAGGAGAAACCAGCAGGAACAACCTGTGGTTCTGAGCAACATCCCTCCTCACACCTCCCACACTTCTCACTTCCAGCCTTTCCCGAGATGTTTTGTTTCCTCTCACCACGCTGCTTCCCACATCCTCACTTGGATGCACTCTCGCCTTTCACACTCGTGCTCAGCAGTAGGTATGACAAGCAACTCAGTGGCAGCCTGTATGGATGCAGCCTAGAATTCGTACCACGGAGCTCACTGCATGATTAAAACTGTATTTGGTGGTCTGCACTCTGCTGACAGTGGCTGTGGGTCAATATCCAACTGAAGTTATATAGCTGTTAAGTATTCCATTAACCTCTGCAGAACATTAATTCCTGATGTACTTTCCCATCTATCTAGATAAACATCACTAGCATCCAGCACTGCTGGCATCAAAAAATGCACACTATACACACATACATGTGCCACCAGCTACTTAAATTTACACCCTTTCTAACTCTGGCACATGTCCAGCTAGCAGGGAAAACCATAAGCATCTGACCAGCAAGAGCAATTTGTGTGAGAAACACAGACGGAGCCACTCATACACAAGAGCAGCTCCCACCTCTCTTATTTTGACATGAAATATCAGGAGTGCAAAGCAGCAATTATCCTCCTGCTCATTCTGCCTAGAATTTTATTACAGTATAGCAGCCAGGACTCAGGATTAATAGGACTGATTGAAAACATTCCCCCAGATGCCATGCTGTTGAGATCACACGCAGAGGAGCCTGACAGGGGGGGAAGGAGCAGAGCACTGCCGAGATGCTCATCAGTGCTGCTGTTACAGTGCTGATATCTACCAAGAGCTGGCAGCAAATGGCTTCTGTGCCCTCGGGAGGGATGGTGCAGGTGCTCTCTGAAGACCTGACAGATCACCTCATCTGCATCCTGCAGCCCTTCCCTTCCAGTCCCTCCCTCCATACTTCAGGCACAGAAAGGAGCGTTTCTTCCAGATTGGAGAGATGGTCACCACTCTTGGGGGAAAGCTCTGTCAAAGTGCATGTTGCTGCAGCAAGAGGAAAATTGTATTCAGAGTTTGAAAGGAAGGATGAAGAAGAGAGAAGGAAGGAGACCTGATCTTCACCAGAAAGATCTAGAGGGTTTTAAACAACCAGGAAGACTTGGTTTCCATTCCTCGCAGCCAAGGAAGTAGGGATGTGCTGTAATTTCCAGGAGTCACCCTCCCTCCAGCTTTCCATGACCTCAGCAGTTGGTACAAGTGGTCAGGGAGCAGCTGGAGATACCTAGTGTCAAGTCCAAGAGCAGAGATACAGCTGGGGAGTGCAGGAGGGTCTCTTCGTGAGCTTTAAATAGCCAGACTGACAAAGCCATTGAGGACAGTAGCAGTAGACTTGAACATGAAACAGCAAAGCTCCCCTGTTTTTGTTTTTCACATCTGGTACTTCCACATTTTATCTCTCAAAGCTTTATTCTTTGGCAGAAGGCACAAGAAAAATCACAGGAACAACATGATTGCGTTACAAGAGACCTGGAAACACCAGACAAGATTGTTCGAAACAGAAGCCAGACTTCACAGAAGTGAATTTATCAGTGGTCAACCAACTATGGGACACATAGCTCAGAATTCCTTCACAGCTTCCTCAAAAGCAAGAGAATTGTTCCTTGGTCTGCATGTGTGCAAAGGAAACAGCTACAGATTTGCACTATAACTGTGACTAGCTGTGAATAATACGGAATGTTCCTTGGAAACCTCTTAGCAGATAGATACCACGCCATCAGCCACCCCCACCTAGAATTTTTGCTTCACAAAGGGATACAAGCAGCTTTCTTCCACCCCCTTGCTGAAGAATCTCTCCCACCCAATAGCAAAAATTTGAGGAGGCCACACCAGAAATGTCCTTTGCAGAGCCAGGGCTTTGACAATGTATGCCTTACTGCACTCACAAAGAAGCAACATGAAGCGTAAGCCAGCACAGCAGCAGTATGGCAGCACTCAAGGCTGGATTCGTCGTGTGCTGTTTGGAGGAAGAAAAGGGGCCGTGGGAAGAAGAGAGGAACACAACAATTCTGCAGACAAGCAGGAACAACACAGGCAGTACATGGCAAGACAGCGTGCCAAACCGCGCTAGCAGGGGTCACGGCCACAAAATCTCACACTGATCAGCAAAGCTGCTGATGCTGCACAGGCTGCAAGGGGTTGGCAGTCAATGGGAGTGAAGTGAGGCAGTTCATCTCTCCTGTGTCATGCTGCAGTCTGACAGAGCGAGACGTGTTTTGCTTTTAGTAGAACTACCTGGCAGCAAAAGGAAAAGCAATGCTGCAAAGGGCTGCTGCTGTTCATCCTACACAGCACTAATGACGGCACAAATCATTGAGTGAAACCCTGAAGGGCAGGAAATGTGGTCGTGTTTATCTCAAATACAGACTTAGGCCAAATTGCTGTGCCTGTTTCCTACTTGCTTCCAAACTGGCATGGTGCTTTCGTTCTGCACAAAAAAAAACGCTGGGAAGCCAAAGCATTTATGAAAAATCTTTTTAGGGTGGTGCTCTTAGGTAACTCAGAAGATGGCTTCTATCATAGGTTCAAGAGGAGAGCCACAGTTTCAGTCTTGCTATCAAAGCTCCTCCTTCTCAAGTGCTCTGCTCTTCGCACTGTCCCTAAAAGCAAGTCCTCCCATAGTACTCCTGCCTTGAGATAGGAGGAAAATGTGGCAGGAAGGACTAACCACTTTGGACTCCAGAGTGAAACATGAACAGCTGTCACATATGGGACATTATTCCAAACAAACAGACAAGATATGTTCTTATTGTTTACTGAGGCCAGTGTAGAGCAAGGACTGCCAGGACTTTCACCAGGCAGCTGAGACCAATAATTCTCCCCTATTACAGAAAGACTCTACCAAGAAACTATTATTTAACAGAAGTCACATGCATCGGGTAGTTGATGGAAGTTTCAGAACAAGATGTTTTTTGCAGAAATAAGGCATGTGGATAAAAAGATGTCCATAACAGGAACACAAGGACATCAGGACACTACAGAGCAAGGATGTAATCTCAGGGTACTTACACAGAGGAGCTCAAAGGCTGCCGGCTGCTTCCACTCACAACCCAAGCTCTCAGCAAGGATATCTGACTTGAAATACCAGCATCTTTGAGCAGCTGTAGCAAGCCAGAGCAAAGACCCGCACATGCTGGACACCTCTCTTTGACAGGCTGCCATCTCTGGTAAAACTCTAAGTGATGAACTCCAAGTGATGTTGTCCCAAATATTCCCAAGATCCCAACAGTTTTTGGCTCGGGATCCTGTCCTATGTACAAACTCCTTCAGAAAAAAATTTGCACCTGCTTTTCTAGTTTACCTTGAGCTCATGTAGTTTTTTGTTACCTACAGCATCCTCTAGCAGAGCGTCACAGCTCTTAACTATGACTAGCATGAAGGACAGATCCTTTTTCTTCTCCATGAAATAGAGCTTAGTGAAGAGCCACTCCCCACACAGACGAATGACGCGCTACATCAAACAGAGGTGTCAAAGAGATTTCCTTAAAATGGTAGCTTTTACTCATGAAAGCCTGAGATAATGATAGAAAAGCAGACCCCAGTTTATGCTAAAGACTACTAGACACTCAGTTTATATGAACTCAGTCACCTCCCATGTTCAAGCAGTCCTGCTCAGTCTATCACTCATTTTGTCCACCACCAAACTTACTGAGACCAAGCTTGCTCAGTGCTGAGACATATTTGAAACAGTTCTTTTCCTCTTCATTTCAGCCTATAACAGCACAAAAGAGCCACGCTATGCTCTCCTCATCTCAAGCAATCATCGTTTGACAGCAATAGCAGTCAAGCAGGATGGGGAAGGACATCTGCCTGAGAGAGACTCTCCATCTCCAGCAACACCCAGACAGCATCTATAGCACCAAAGATCCCTTAAGAGTCTAGGCAACAGCCTCACCCAGGGCAACTGAAACATCTTTTGAAAAAGGGCCGTGCTTCAAAACTGGTTCAAGAAAATGGCAGCCCCTGGGCACCACCTCTGGTGGGTGATGACATTTACTGACCCCCTGTTCTAGCAGACACCGCTCGAGCCCTCACAGAAAGAAAGGCAGCGGTGAGGGACATGAGGGAGGGGCACTTCGAGGGATGCTCTGGGCAAGCCTAAACGTCTAGGGCTCGTCAAGATACAGCAGGACACCGCAACAGGTTGATCATGGACGTCCTTGAGAAGAACCAGATTTTACTTTGTTGTTAAACGTACAGCAGTTTGCAGTCTTTGTAAGACAACACAGCAGAGACTACCGGGAGAGCCCTCTCGGCGAGGGACACAGCGCAGCACTGACCCAGCTCCACGTGAAGGCAGCGGGACATCGCCCGGACTCCTAGCCGGCCCCACTCTCCCTATCCTCTGCCTCTAGCAGCCCTACAAGTTGAAGTAGGGGCAGGACAAGAAAAACACCTTTCAAGGGGAAAGAGCAGAGTCGGCCCTCGGACACCACGGGCACCACGCACACACAAATACACACAAATACACACAAACACACACACACGCACGCACACGCCGCCTCCCGGCCGGCAGCCCCCACGCACTGCCTCCTCGCCGCTTCCCGCCCCGCGCCACACAGCGCTACCGGCCGCGGGGAGCCCCGCGCGCCGCTCCCCCCTCACACCCCGTCCGTCCGCCATTTCGGGGCGCCCCGCCTCACCCCTCAGCGGCACCGCGCCGGACCGCCGTGCTCCGCGCCGCCTCGCGCCCCGACCTGCCGAGCGGAGAGAGAGGGAGGGAGGGAGGGAAGGGAGCACGGCAGGAAACGGGGAGGGAGGGGAGAAGGGCGGCACGGCTCGCCCGGCCCGGCCCAGCCCCGGGACGCCCAGCGGGCGGTGCCTCGGCAGAGAGCCCTCACGTACAGTCCGCCCGGCGGCCGGCATGGGTTGTCGGAGCCCCTGCGGTTTCGAAAAATAGAATAAAGTAATATATATATATATATTTTTTTTTGTAAAACAAAGCACCCCGATTTCCGTCCACCTGCAGTGCCTGCGGCGCGGTCTCGGCGCGCTGTGCAAGCGCGAAAGCGCGCCCTGCGGCAGCGACCTCTGCCTCCTGCCGCCTTTACCTCACCCGCCGTTCCCATGGCCGCAGGCACCGCGTTGTGAAGAACACGAGCTCTTCTTTTTCCAAGCCTTTCCCTTTTTAGAGGCGTCAGAGCTGCTGGTTAAAGATCTTTCCAGGAGACATCCTGCACATTGAGATCAAGCCCTGACTGGCACATTGCCTCATCCTTCCATTACCTCATTTCAACTTCGGTCCAAATACCGCAGTTAGCAGCCGGCTGGGATCTGCAGGAAGGGAAACCCCACCTGCTCCCCTCAGAGACTGAGCGGTCTCAGTTTCTTAGGGCTGGCTGAGAGCTGAGCAGAGAGTGAGGGAAAAGGCCAGTTGAGGGCCTACTGGTTGTTGCCCTCTACTGTGCCTTAACTAGGGTCCCATGTACCCAGTCACTTCATAGAATCATTCCTGTTGGAAAAGACCTCTAAGATGACCAAGTCCAACCCCCAGCTCACCCCACCATGCCCACTGACCTCATCCCTCAGTGCCACATCTACCCTTTCCTTGTATATGTCCAGGGATGATGATTGCACCACCTCCCTGGGCAGCCTGTGCCACTGCCCCACCGCTTTTTCTAAGAATTTTTTCCTAATATCCAACCTGAACCTCCCCATATCATCCTATCACTGTTCCTGGGAGAAGAGGCTGACCCCCACCGTGCCATAACCTCCTTTCAGGTCACTGTAGAGAGAGAGATAAGGTCTCCCCTGAGCCCCCTCTTCTTCATCTTTTTTCAGTGAGTATTCAATTATTCATCGGATACCACACTCTTTAAGGCAACAGACCAAGATGGACAGCCTAAGAAGTTCTGTATGGACTGCTAGGAGAGACTCACTTCTCAGCACTTTTGCTCTGATGATGTTCACCATCATCCGGTTTGCAGTGAGTCAGAGGGAAGGGGCACGTTCAAAGAACAGGGGCTGTGTTAGACCAAAATCAGCAGACAACAGCTCACTTCACACAGAGCTGGGCAGGGCAAGAAAAAGGAAAGCCTGCAGATAATCATGAGCTATACCACAGTGTCCCCTTTTCCCCAGACCCTCAGGAATATGCAGGAGTCCAGTAGCACGGTTGTGTCATGCAGGGATTTACACTGCAACACTTTGCTGTTTCAGTGCTCACCTGTAGGAGCCATCACCACCACCTCTGCCCAGAACTGCGCAAATGCAACCTCTGTAAACGATTAATTAGATATATCTTTATCTTGAAAAACAACTAATTTTATCTGGCCAGTTCTACTGTGGCCTAGTCACTTCTAAAGAAGCATGCAGCTAATCTTCTGCTCGCAGAATCAGGCCATATTAAACTGCTTGGCTTGAGATGTTTAAAGCGTGCCTCAGGGGCTCGAGGAATCTGGATCCAGATTATTGTAGCTGCACCAACTGAAATTTCAGCATGGCTCATTAACAGGCAGATAAGTAATGAGCAGACTGACAGCAGCTCAACGAACTACCAAAGCACTGAGCTGCAGTACAGTGGACCTACTGGAGCCAAGAGATTTTCAAATGAAGTATTTAAAGGTACATAGCATGAGTTCCAAGATACATCTATATCCAGACATGAAGTATTTGTTTTATATATGGACTAAGTAATTAATAAGTAAAAAGAGAGAAAATATATTAACAGTAGAGGGTAATAGAAGAGAAAATAATCCAGGAGAGACCCAAAGGGACTGATTAAATGTCTGTGGATGGATCTCTTGGAGTTTAAGCTGCTGGAACAAAGTGGCTCTAGGGCAACTGGTGAGCCATTATGCAGTTGTGAAATTCCTATGAGCAGCACCTCAGGAACAAGCTTGCCTGGAAAGAGCAAAGGCACTCCATAAAGCCACAGCCAAAAGTTGAGTGCATGTGCTTTATCACTGATTGATGATGAACCTTTGCAAGTGGGGTCCTGCACTGCCCAGTTTCTTTCCAGGCACTCTGGGTCAACACCACTGAGCCTCCAGCCCCAAGAATGCAGCACATGAGATGAGTGGAAAATGCTGTCACGTCTCCAACACATTCAAGTAGAAGTGACAGCGTTAAAACAGCAGAGAAGCAAGATCCTCATCTGTCCTCTTACAGGGGTTTTCTAGCAATGCTATTTATCATTCCCTGAGCTTTACCCCCCTGTCTCACCTATCACAGTCATAGGTAAAAACAAACAAACATCCAAGGCCTTTTGTGATTCCTTCATTTGTCCCGTGGGAAAGCTTTAAACTTAGCACCACGGCTTAATGCTCTCTCTTCATCCCTATTTTGGCCTGCCAAAGAGATGCTGTCAGGCTAATCCTGTTATGTTTATCCTTAGCATATTAACATGAAAGAGATGAGTGAAACGCAAGGCAAAGCAGGGTCCCCTTGCCTGCGTGCAAGAACTTTATGGGACTGTGGGGGCTTGTCAGAGCAGCTGTTTTTTTTCTTCTTTGCTCTTAGCCCGATTGTATACACAGCTGCACTGCTGCATGGGCCAGCATAAGCTTCGAGGCCATAAGAAGTGTACTTTCTCGTGATACATTTCCAAAATGCTTTATAGATTATGTGCAAAAAGTCACCTGTCCACGAAGAGACTGCAGCCAATGCAGTGCAGCAATAAGCTCTCAGGCAGTCAGTTTTTCATCCATTATCTCATACCACCTCAGGCTGTCCCTGTTATTTGCTTTTTGCTTATATTGGAGTTGCCAACAGTCACTCGAAGAATGTGGCTTCTCCCAGGATCTCCATTCAGCAACAGGAGAAATTCTCACACTGTCTTGGTTTTGGCTGGAATCTCATTTATTGTCTTCATAGTAGCTGGTATGGTGCTGTGTGTTGGACTTCTTTCATGAAAATAGCAGTGATAGCACACCAATGTTTTAGTTACTACAAAGGAGTGGATACACAGAGTCAAGGGCTCTTCTACTTCTTCGGTTGTGAGTGTCTAGGTCTTCCAATAGGAAATGTAAATACTGTCCAGGAAACCAACAAAACACTATTGCACCATCCAGTATAAAACACACCCTAGTGCTTACTGCTGTCCAACCTCTGTGCCACTTTATCATAGGCAAAACAAAAGTTCACCCTGTTCCTGCTAAAAAAAGTTACAGTGCACTACTTCCTGTGTTGTTTGTTTATAGCAAGGGAAATGAGTAATAATTTCTGTGGCCAGAGCTATGGATAGATACTTCTGTAAGACACTGACATGTTGAAATAAATATAGGGTACAAGGTCTAAGAGCTATGAAATTCCTAACTCTGGTGAACAGGATGCATGAGCGTTATTAAATATGTCTGGTTCTACAAGCATAGATACAAGGAGACAATGTGCTGTGTTTGAAAGCTCTACGCTGGCCCCAGACTCTGGGGAAGCATCTCCTTAATTCCCCCTGCCCTGCCTTCCCTGATCATCCAGACTCAGACTCTGGCTGTTTTAAAGAGAAAAAATAAGACAGCAGATGAATTGCTCCTGTGCTTCTCTGGAAACAAGGGTTTCTCATCCACTCACTCCTTGCTTATTACTTACAAGTCTCCTATACATATCACCACCAGGAACACACTTCTCAACCCTTCCTGAGCACTACATGCTGCAGCAGGCAACTAAATCAAGTGAGGCTGAACCTCTTGCAACTCCTGAAAAAAAACTCAACACAAACATTTGCAAGACAGTATTTCTTTATTGCCTGCACCCTGCTTGCCCACTAAGAAAACATCCTTAAGAACAACCAACCAGCCAAAAACAAACAAAAAACAAACACGTGGTAGTTCTTCCTGTTGCAGTACGACACTGCTGAGGAAGGTAATTACCACATGCTGCATGGTACGTGTGTGCCAGGTATACTTTAGTCCTTTATCTTTCATGTGCTTTTTACACAGTGTGGGAGCTGCACATTCAAACCATGTTAGCAGATTAGATTCCATACTTTTCTTCTGCTGCAGCTTCCAAAATCCTGCCCAGCATGCTGTTGCAGGTAAGTAAATTTTGGTGTTACTGATGTGCCCACTGAAGATGTCAATTCTTATTGCCAGTTCTTATTAACCTACAACTGGAGCACGATGCAAATGAATCGTTGACAGCAGCTCCTCCAACTCAGCCAGTGAATTTTAGTGACTTAGCAGGTGACAGTGTCTGTACTCCTCCATGGCCACATTGGTTAGAATGCACAAAATCCACATGTGCATTTGGACAGTCATCTGGTACAAGGCAGTCTAAAGTTTTGTGTTTTCCAAGAACAGAGATTTCACTTCACAAACATCCTTTCTTGCAAACATTAGCAGTTCCACTGGAAGTGCTGCTGGTGTTACCTAAGCTCAAAACCAGAAGCCCTAGTTTCTTCAGGACCTCTTCTAATGTACAGCTTCCTGGTCAGTTTGTGCAGTTAAATTCACCAGCTGTACAATAGCAAGAACCACAGTCAGCAGTAAGGACTGAGCAGACACTTAGTACTTTGGGCTATTTCTTTAAGTCAGGAACCTGGCTCTTCCGGAGAGAATCTTCCTCTTTCCCACTAGAAGTAAATGGCACTGGGAGGAACCATGGAAAGACTGTGTAATGCAGTAGGTGACTCAGATCACTTTTCCTGCATGGAATATTCCCAGAGAAATTTGTGCAGCAAACAGATATTTGGAGCCAGAGTCATTGCCTTATCCCATGAGAGGAAGGAGGTGATAAATACAGGCCTTGCCTATGCTGAGGGTTGGAGAACTGTTTCCTAGCTGCAGTATCACATATTGTGCCCAAGATTTCAAAGACACATAAAGAAATGGGCTCAAGGAGAAA